CGCCGAGGAGGGAGGTGAGGCATCGGCCCGCTGCTGCTCCCGCGGCAGCAATGGCGGCCTGACGCCGCCATCGTAGTAGAGCGTGCCGCGCGAGGCCGCGCACCTGATGACCGAAAACTCCTTCGGGGAGAGCGCCAGTACGCCACAGTCCTGCTGAGATTCGAGCATGCTGTGCAGTGCTCCGTAGTCGGTGTATCTTGCGAAACCTAGCTGCTGCTGAGCTCTGTCGCTTCCTGGCTTTGGCTTGCGCCCGTCGAGTAGCCGCAGCCGCGTCTACTCCGAGGTCGACGGCCGTGGCGGTCGCGGTAACTGGGATGTCGTACTGCCGCAATTTCTTGGCTAGCGATTTGCGGACCTTGGGGGTGGAGCCGATGAGGACAGTCTTGTCTGAGATAGGCAGCTCGAACTCCTTTAAACCGTCGCAGAGCGTCTTGGCGGCACGGGGGAGGTGCTTCTGTAGCGTGCGCAGGACTCCTTCGACTCGAAGAACAGTGTCGTCTACGAAGGTCCACATCTGGGCAAGCTCTGCCTGAGCTTGGGCTTGCCGTAGAATAGGAAGTAACATGAGTCGTGCCAAGGTCGTGCCGTGGGGGGAGCTTGCAATGATGCCTTTGGAGGCGAAGATAGGCATACTCACCCATTGTCGACTGCGCAAGAATCTGGGCGCCAGGTATAGCTGCACTTCCAGTAGTAGAATGATGGGGGGAAAGCCGCAGTTGAGGCCGACCATAATGAGGTTGGCGAGCTTGATATTGTCGTAGAACTTCTGGATGTCGAATAGCAACGTGGCTGACTGTATGCCAAGTGCTGAGGCTGTCTCGTCTAACAAGGCCCTGTGTAGGGCGGCCTGGAGAGCTGAGGAGCCCTTGATGGCTGTAGTCCAAAAGTCGTCCAGACCTTGGGTCCAGGATGCAGATGCAGTCGATCTGATGCGAGACCAGAGTCTGGCCATATGAGGTAGCATGCCGAGGACCCTGTCGCCTCCAGACTTCTTGGCGGCGAGAGCTGCAATGGTACCTGAGATTTGTAGTGGCCAGATGCCTGCTTGCTCTACTGCGTTGAGGATATCCGCATAGGCTTCGACTGCTGGTTCTGGTAGTCGATGGAGGTCGCGAGGTCCAAGGGCGTCAACTCCATGTGCTTTACTGGGTGGCATGCGGCCGTGAAAGCGGTGTACGATCTCGGCTGTGATGGGCTCGAGCGGTTGGCGAGCGGCTGCTGCTTTGGCCTTTGACAGGGCCTGTAGGATGTCGTCGGGGGTCTCGGTGGCTTGCCATACTTGTTGCCATTGTTGCTTCTTGTTGTCCATGATAACGGTGGGGTCGGCGATGGTCAGGTTGGTCGTGTAGGCCTCGATGTGACGTACGGGCGCTGGCTTGACATGGGCATGTAGTACTCCAGGGCTGTGTTTCCATTGCTTGGCGAGCCAATCACCGTACGCCCTCTTGGACTTGGCGAGGGCGGCGGAGAGCGCTCTGGAGGCCCAAGTAGCGGTAATAGTGACCAAGTCGTCGGTGCCCTCATTGTCCAAGTGCGGGGCCCAGACGAGTGCAAACCAGCGGAAAATGGTGTCCTCGTCCTTCTCGAACTGGAGGTCGTGAAAGTGAGTGTTGAAGTGGTCCGCGCGCTGCTGGATGATGGAGGCCTGCTGCTGCATGAGCGCTGCGTGCTTGGGCTTGTCGTGAAGCGCAGCGTAGCGCTTGATGAGGGTGAGCGTGATTGCCCACCATTCCGACTGAGGGTCATGTACGTGTACGCGGCCTGAGGCGGCGGCCGTCTTCTTCCAAGACAACTGGTAGCCTTGGGCTCGGCCTGTGTATGCTGCGGCTTCCTTCGGGTCGATCTGGTGGTGGCTGATCATGGTGTTCTCGAGCGCCGTGACCCATTTGGCGTACTTGAGGTTGAGGTCGTCGGCGTCGTGCACCCAGTGTGTGTACACGAAGTGCGCGTGAGGCTGCTTACAACGTGTGGGCACAGCTTGCTGCCATTGTTCTTCCCACAGGTCACTCGGGATAGCATAAGGGATAGGTTCCTGTGCTGCGGGCTCGTCTTGTGGCTGGAGTTGTGCTGCTGCTTGTTGGAGTTCAGGAGGTAGATCGCGTAGGCGTGCTGCTCGAGCTTCTGCTGTTTTACGTTTCTTGATGGCGGTCTTGCTGTTGGGGTCTGGTGGGATCCTGGGTCTGTCCCCTGTGGGGAACGCCCTCGGGGTCTGGATCGACTGATACCACCAGGGGTCTGCACTGCCTGCTCGAACTTCAAGGCCAACATGGGTGGCCCAGGGTACGGTGGGGCACTGGCGAATGGAGATCGTGTGCTGGACGCCAGTCTTGACCAATGCGAAATCAAGCGTGAGTCCCTGGCCCTTGTCGCACGTGGCGGATCCAGGCGCTCGCACAATGGTAGCATTCCATTTGGCGGGCCACTCTGTCGCTGCGAGCTGCCCAGGTGTCATATTCCAATCGGCCAGGATGATCCACGGGTCCGTGAGCATAGTAACGAAGGCTCCCAGCGAGAGTAACTTATCGTGCACTGCACCCTCGATCTGCCTGTGGGGTTCCAGATGCGCTGCAATAACGACCAGGTTGCCAGAGCGCCTCTGCCATACCATGGGCGTGAAGCCGCGGAACGGGTCGGGCCTGCTCTGGGAGATGGCCAGGTCGCGCAGGTGTTTGAACGTAGTGGCCTGGACGTGGTACCTGGAGAGGATAATCTCGCCACCCGTGTTGCCTCCGTCTGATCTGCTGGTCGGCGTGGCCGTAGTCGATGATATCCTCCAACCGTCCGCTGCTAGCTTGTCGTAGATGAGAGGCGCTTTTCCATGCGAGATGTGTGTTTCAACCAATGCCACCATCTGATATTGTTTGCCTGGCCCTGCCAGCCATTTCTCCGACTGTGGCCCCCACTGAGTAATGTTGGAGAAGAACAGGGAGTGATCTGACGGCGTGGGCTTCGTAGGGCCTTCGTCTTGGTAGACGGGTCTGGGGTCGGGTCTCGGGCTGCTGGGCTTCCATGAGCCTTTCCCTGCGGTCAAGTCGACAGCTGTCGCCATCTCATCGCCCCCTACCAAGGACTGCGTCTTGGGCGGGGCGGCATCAGGGTTTGCCGTTGGCAACGGCTCCCCTGGTTCCTGTACCACATGCATGTCGACAGCTTGGGCCGTCTCATCGCTCCCTACCGAGGACAGCGTCTCGGGCGGAGCGGCATCAGGGTCGGAGCGCGCGGCACGCTGCGGCTGCCCTGGGTCCCATGCCACTGGGTCGACGGACTGTGCCGCCTCATCGCCCCCTACCGAGGACAGCGTCTCGGGCGGGGCGGTAGCGTACTGATCTGTGGCTGCGAAATCGATGTGGGCGTCCAACCCGGCCAGCTCGTCGAACGGGTCGAGGACTGCGTCCATTGTGTTGATGATCGGTGGGTTGTCGTAGCTCTTGGTCTCTGACGGTAGGCGTCCCGTCTCACCATTCCGTCCAGAGTCGGGTAGTAGGCGGCTAAAGAGGCTGCTGCGCTCCAGCCGCGGCGGTCGCAGTGGGCTTGCGCATCTGGCTGATCATCTTCTGTGCCTTGTCTTCGAGGTCGGGGTCCTTGTTGATCGCTGGTACGGGCTGTGCGGCAAAGCTGCCGTCAGAAGTAGCGCCAGCAGCAGGTGCGGGAGGCTCATCGCTTGGCGCCGCTGGCGAAGAGGCCGCAGTGCCCTCAGCGCCCGCTGCGGCTGCCGCTGGGGGTTCGCCTGCTGCCGCCGAGGCGGCGGGCAGTGGTCCACCTCCCTCTCGGGCGTGTCCATCCTCGTCGGACCGCTGTCGCTTGGAGGCGAAGCGCGTGCGCATGGTGCTGGCCTCTGCGCAGAGCTGGCTGATGCGGCTGGCGGTGTTGCCGAAGAGCTCAGTGACCTTGGCCTTGAGCTCCGTGGCGAAGCGCTGTTGGAGGGATTCCCATGCCTGGCGGTCACTGTCGTCGATGTCGAGGCCTTGGAGATCGAACGCTGAACCCGCTTCGATGGATATGTCGCCGTCCTCGAGGAGGCTGGTGAGGTTGAACGTCGGGTTCTGCTGCGAGGCCGTGGGAGTAGCAGTGCCGCCCTTGCGAGCGACTTGGAGTGCATCGAGAGCCGCTTGGGCCTCGGCCTGGGCTTCTGCCAACTTGTAAGCGGCCTCCTCCGACGCCGCCTTGCGCTCGGTGTACCAGCTGAGCGCCTTTTGCTCGCTTTCGAGCAGCCTCTCCAGATTGTTCTTGCAGCGGCGCTCCGTAGCCTGGGCGCGGCTGTAGATGTCGTTGAGGTCGGCTGGCTTCTGCGGCTGGGGCGGCGGAATCTGCGACTTAATGCCGTCGATGGCTGCCTTGTCGATGTGAGGGGCGATCGCCTGGAGCTCCGCCAGGATGTCCTCTGCGGAGCGCGCCTTGGGGGTGTCGTTCTTGCTGGCCCACCAATCGTCCTCTTGGTCCTTGCCATTGCCTTTGCCGCGGCGGCGGCGGGACTTGGGCCATGAAGACCACGGTTCCCATCCACCCTCGGGGCTGGGCTGCTGGGTGCAGTTGGAGTCGGCCTGGGCTGCGGCTGTGGCGCGGGCCGCCCAAGCACCTTGAACTGGAGGCGGGGTATCTGTCCACGGCGCCAAGGCTTTGCTGCACCAGTAGCACGTCTGCTTGGTCTTCCAGTTCCAGGCGTACGAGCAGGAGTAGCACTTGACGTAGGCGCTGCGCTGCTGCGGAGGCGCCATGGACGAGCTGAGGAACAGAGAAAGCTCACCTGCGGGCTGCAGGAGGCACACGGGAAGTTGAACAAAGCTGTCGGGCTCAAGAGCCCTGGCACTGGCCGCGGACTAGCGGTATCCACTTGTTCCCCTGTGGAACTAGGCATCTTGAGCCAAAATGGCTACGGAGAAGGGTTGGAGGAGGAGGAGGAGGAGGAGGAGGAGGAGGAGGAGGAGGAGGAGGAGGAGGAGGAGGAGGTAAGGAGGAGGAGGTAAGGAGGAGGGGAAGGTGGCCCCCCCTTTTGGCGCCAGGGCAGATCGGGCGCGTCGACGAGCGATGTCATCGCGGGCGTCGCGGTCGCCGCCGTGTCCGCCGCTTGCTACGGTGCTGGCCGATCGCGCAATCGCCGATACCGAGTGGTCGGGTGGGTCGATCGCGTGGCCGTCCCAGCCTTTTCACGGTAGCCGCCGCGATCAAACCACATGACCAGGGGGCACGATGGGCTGCGTGATCGGAAACGCACCAAGGTCCAGAAAGCAGCTTGCGAAGCGTGACTGCTACAAGCTGTTTTTGCGTGTGCGCCCAGCCCTCGTCGTGACCGTTTTGGTGCTACAGAAGTGTTCCACTGACGCTCTGACCTGGTACACTCGCACGCGCCAGGGTACCCCATATTCAGGCTCCAGCGCTGCCCTCTTGACCGAGATAGTTAAGTTCCCTATTCTGGCCGTGGCCATCGCAGTGTTCGAGTCTCCCAGAAGGGTGGTGCCAACTTTCCAGAACGCGACGCGCAACATCTGGGTGCTGTCTTGGGTCGCTGCGGCCTACGCCGCGCAGAATTTGTTCTACTTCCTCTGCCTGGACCACATCTCCCCTGCAGGCTACCAGGTCGGCGCCACGGCTATATTCACCCTGCCCAAAGATTGTCGCAGCCCCCCTCAGAAGCAGGGTTTGTGAATAAATGTCCACCGCACTGCGCCGAAGCTCGAGATTCAGCCAGCCCCAGGGCGGAGGCATGGGGGAGGCTTTGATGCGTGGGTTCCGTTGTGCTAGCTCAGAGACAGCCCCCCCCAGCCCCCCCCCCGGGTAGGTCCCAGCTGGCCTCAACTGGCCCCCCCGAGTAGTTCCAGCTGGCCTCAAAAAAAAGCCCCGAGCAGTCCGTGGCGGTCTTAACACCTCAGCCCTGGGGTGCGGAGGGCCCCACGGGCGCCGCCTCTGGCGGCGCCAGGGTGTTGAGCCCGCCCCGGACTACTCGGGGGGCCTGTTGAGGCCAGCTGGGACTACTCGGGGGGCCCTTCAAGGTAAGCCGGGACTGCCTGGGAGGAGGAGGAGGAGGAGGAGGAGGAGGAGGAGGAGGAGGAGGAGGAGGAGGAGGAGGAGGAGGAGGAGGCCAGACGAAAGTGCTGAGGCTGGAGGAGGCCAGGAGGAGGAGGAGGAGGAGCAGGAGGAGGAGGCCAGGAGGAGGAGGAGGAGGAGGAGGAGGAGGAGGAGGAGGAGGAGGAGGAGGAGGAGGAAGGGGACTGCCTGCCAGTCCGCTGCTCCTCAGTTGCTGAGCCAGACGAAAGTAATCTTCACCGCCGGCCTCATGCGCGTGATGCTCGACAGGCGCTTCTCGTACCAGCAGATAGCGGCGCTGGCGCTGCTCATCGGCGGGCTGGTGGCTACACATTCCAGCGAGGTTCGGGAGGGGAATTACCCTGTGACGTACCCCACCTTTTCTATACATGTGACGATTATATTCAGGACCACTCAATACTGACTGGCATTCTGAAGGACCCGCAGTGCGCAGAAAGAGCACCCAGCAGTGCTGTCAGAAGAGCGCAGCAATAAGTCTCGTGGTGATCCGCGTATGACGTACCTCCGCTGGGCCTCCCAGGAGCCCACGAAAGTGGCGACAATTGCGCAGATCGCAGCCCCCCAGGGGCGGCGAGGTCCCGTGGTGATCTGCGTATGATGTACCTCCGCTGGGCCTCCCAGGAGCCCACGAAAGTGGCGACAATTGCGCAGATCGCAGCCCCCCAGGGGCGGCGAGGTCCCGTGGTGATCCGCGTATGATGTACCTCCGCTGGGCCTCCCAGGAGCCCACGAAAGTGGCGACAGTTGCGCAGATCGCAGCCCACAGGAGGCGGCGAGGTACCATGGTGATCCGCGTATGGCGTACCTCCGCTGGGCCTCACAGAAGCCCACGAAAGTGGCGACAATTGCGCAGATCGCAGCCCCCCAGGGGGCGGCGAGGTACCGAGGTGATCCGCGTATGGCGTACCTCCGCTGAGCCTCCCAGGAGCCCACGAAAGTGGCGACAATTGCGCAGATCGCAGCCTTCCAGGGGCGGCGAGGTCCCGTGGTGATCCGCGTATGACGTACCTCCAGTGGGTCTCCCAGGAGCCCACGAAAGTGGCGACAATTGCGCAGATCGCAGCCCCCCAGGGGGCGGCGAGGTACCGTGGTGATCCGCGTATGACGTACCTCCGCTGGGCCTCCCAGGAGCCCACGAAAGTGGCGACAGTTGCGCAGGTCGCAGCCCCCCAGGGGCGGCGAGGTACGGAGGTGATCCGCGTGGGACCCACCTCCGCTGGGCCTCCCAGGAGCCCACGAAAGTGGCGACAGTTGCGCAGATCGCAAGCCCCCCAAAGGGCCGGCGAGGTACGGAGGTGATCCGCGTGGGACCCACCTCCGCTGGGCCTCCCAGGAGCCCACGAAAGTGGCGACAGTTGCGCAGATCGCAAGCCCCCCAGGGGGCGGCGAGGTACCGAGGTGATCAGCGTGGGACCCACCTCCGCTGGGCCTCCCAGGAGCCCACGAAAGTGGCGACAGTTGCGCAGATTACCGAGGTGGCGTCTCAGGAGCCCACGAAAGTGGCGACAGTTGCGCAGATCGCAGCCCGAGGCACGAGTCTGCTGGTGCCCAGGAGGGTTGGGACATAATTCAGTCCCACCTCTATAGGTATTGGGGATCCCCGTGTGTCAGAGGAAGGGCAACGTCATGCTCTCGAGGCCTCGCTGGAAGCGAATCTTGAAGAGCAGTTCTACCTGCCAGTTTGCCTCGAGGCCCTTCGCCATATTCGTTGGTTCTGTTCTGCCATTTGGGCCCGACGCAGCTGTTTAGTGACGTTTCCCAGCGCCGTTGTTTTATCGTATTCGTTTCCCCCGGTGGGGCCCCTGGTCTGAACCGTTTTCGAACTAGCTCCAGACGTCCTTCGGCTCCTTGGACTGCCCAGGCCGTTTCTGTGAGCAGTTTTTTTTCACCGTTTTGAAGAACCGTTTTTGTGCTTGCCTTTTTCGTGAGCAAGAAACAGTTTTGTGAAAACGGTAAAAGACAGCCCTGCCGTTTCCAGGGCCCACTACAAGAGCAGGACCAGGGAGAAATGATCATGTCGCGTGTCTGTCGCTGCTTGGGCACCGCCACCAGCCCAACGGCGATCATGAGTTTGGCGTGGCCCCGCAGAAGATGCCAAGGGGTGTCCGGTCCACGGGCTGCGCCATAGGCTGCGCGATCCATGGGGTGCGTCATAGGTTGCACCATCCACGGGTAGCGTCAGCGGTTGCACAATCGGTTGCGCCATCCAGGGGTTGCAACGTAGATTGCGCGCCGCAGGTTGTTCCAAGGGTTGCACCATCCGTGGGAAGCGCCAGAGGTTTCGCAACCTGTTGCTCTCTCGGCTGCCAAACGTAAGCAACTTGTTATTGTCTGCGCTGCGCCATGGGTGACCCATTAGACCGCCGAAGATAACGTAGCCTGGTGGGTTGTCCCATGGGCCTTCCTCGGCTGACGAAAGTAAATGGCTTGTTATTGGTTGGTGCATGGGTTGGGCAATCGTCTGCCTAGCATAACGGTTGCACATGTGGCCGCAGAACGTAAAACGCTTGCTTTGGGTTTCGCCATAGGTTGCGCACTCGGTTGCCGAGCATCAAGCGGCCCGTCATTAGTTGCGGCATGGGTTGCACATTCGGCGGCCGAACATACGTAGCACGGGCTGCTGTTTGTCACCCCATAGGTTGTGCATTTTACCGCCAGACATAGCATGGCCTGCAATTGGTTGCGCCATGGGTTGCGCCACCCGGCCGTTGAATGAGATGGCTGGTCATTGATTGCGCCATGGGTTGCGCGTTCGGCTGCCGAACACAACATTGCCTGCGATTGATTCCGCCATGAAGTTGTGCCACTTGGCTGCCGAATACGAATTAGCCTGCCATTGTTTGCGCCTTAAGCTGCGGTCTCGGCGGCCGCACATAAATTTGCCTGCGACTGATTCCGCCATGCGTTGCGCACTTGGCGGCAGAATATGAGAACATGCATACGACTGGCTGCGCCATGGTTTTCTCTCTCGGCGGCCGGACGAGGAACGGCGCGGCATTGGTTGCGCCAAAGGTTGCGCAGTCGGCCGCCGATCGCAAAACGGTTTGTTTCTGGATGCGCAATAGGATGAGCACTCGGGTGCCGAGTATAAAACGGCCTGGTCTGAGTTGTGGCATGGGTCGCACATTTGGAGGCCGAACACAACACTCACGGCCATAGCTTGTGCCTTCGAAGGCAGACAAGAACATCGCTTGCCAAGAAGGGCGAACAGACGAGTCAGTCAGTCTGTCGGCCTGGCGAAAAGTGCATTATGATTACGCCGGAAGTGAGAATTACGCGTCATATCTGCACACATGTGATTATGCGTATTTCGATATGTGCACGTATATATATATATATATATATATATATATATATATATCCCTGGGGGCGAGGCCGGGGGCCCCAGGACAAGTGCCTCCACCCCCCATGGCGGGACCGGGGCTCATTTTCCCTGTGTTTTTACCGGGTTTCCGCGTCCTGGGCCTCGGAGGCCGCCGCCTCCGACCCCCCATGGGCCAGGAGGGCCTCCAGAGGCTCCCAAGACGGCCCATGCGGGCCCCGAGTCGCCGAAAGACCGCTCCAGGACGCCCAAGATAGGCCCAAGACGGCCCGAGAGGCGCCCCAAGGCACTCCACGACGCTTCAAGACGCCTCTCCAGAGCGCTTCCAGAGGCCGAAATCGTCAATTTTACGAAGATTTTCGACCGATTTTGGCCTTCCAGCCTTTTCGGCTGTCCGACGTTCCGAGATGGCTCAATAGGCCCCCAAGAGCGCCCCAAGACGGCCCAAGAGGGCCCCAAGACGGCCCCAGAGTCGCCCAAGACAGCCCAACGGAGCCCCAAGACGGCCCCAAGATGCGCCCAAGAGGGGGACCACGACTCCAAAATTCGAATCTCCGGCTTGAAGAGTGCCCCAGGAGGCCCCAAGGAGCCCCCAAGATGCCCCAGGATGCCCCCAACAGGCACCCAGGAGGCCCAAACGATGCCTACAGAGGCCACAAAACAGCCCCGAGGAGGCCCCACAACGGTCCCAAAACGGCAACCGAGAAGCTGCGAAACTGCTTTCACGACGTCCCCGACAGGCCAACCACGAGATCCAAAGCAACACCCATGAGGCCTCTGACCCACCACCCAGGGCACGGTGGCGGCAGCAGTGACAGCACTTGTGCACAGCATGTTCCGGCGGGAGCCTTCCGGAACACGCTGCAGGAGGAGGAGGAAGATCAGGAGGAGAGAGAGCTGGAGTGGGAGGAGGAGGAGGGGGGAGGGGGACGAGGAGGAGGAAGAGGCCTCCCAGACAGCTCCAAGATAGCCGAAGAGGCTTCCAAGAGGGCCCTGGGCGGCCCACGAGGGCCCCAAGGCGGTGCCTGAGGCGCCCAAGACGGCCCGAGAGGGCCCCAAGACGGCCCCAAGAGAGGCCCAAGAAGGGAAACACGAACCGAGAATCCGAGCTTTCTACCCCGAGAGGTTCTCGGGAAGTCCCAAGAGGCCCCCAATCGGATCCAAGAGGCCCCCAAGAAGCTCCCCGACGAGGTTCCAAGAGATCTCCCAAGGTGGCCCCAAGAGGCACAACTCATTGTTTTACGATTGGGCTTTGACGGGTTCTGCCTTTTGGCATCCCGATGCTCCAAGACGGCCCAAGAGGCTTCCAATACCGCTCCCATATAGAGGAAGAGGCCTCCAAGAGGGCCCCAAGACGGCCCGCGAGGGCCCCAAGACGGTGCTTGAGGCGCCCAAGACGGCCCGAGAGGGCCCCAAGAGCCCCAAGAGAGGCCCAAGAAGGGGAACGCGACCCAACAGCAGAGCGGTCCCCCCACAAGGCCCACAGGAGGCCGCAAGAGGCCCCCAAGTGGTCCGACGAGGACCCCAAAAGCTTCCCGAGGGCCTAAAAGGCCACCAGGAGACGTCCAAGAGGCTTTCAAATAGCCCAAGAGTGCCCTCGATGCGTCAAAACTGCTTCCAGGAGGCCCCTGGGAGGCTTCCGGATTGCCTCAATCTGGCCGCAGGTGGCCTCAAGTCGGGCCTCCACGCAGCCAAGACGGCCAATGACGGCTTCAGATTGCAGAACCGATGCCCCCAAGGGACCCTCAGACGCCCCCCCAAGAAGCACCCAAGAGGTGCCTCCAACAGCCAGTTGACGAAGCATGCGGAACACCCCAGAAGATCCTCAGATGCCGTCGCGCGCCTGTGCTTGATAGCGTTGTCCAAGATCGTCCAGCGCCCCCCGGCCTGGGCTAGAACCTGAGCGCGCGCGAAGCGCGCGCGATGGTTCTAACCCAGGGGCCCGAAAACAGCTGCCCGACCCTCCATGCGAGTACCGGGGCTCATTTTCGCTGTGTTTTCACGGGGTTTCGGCGTCCCGGGCCTCGGAGGCCGCCGCGATGGTCCCGGACATTTTCCAGATCCTCGGCGCGGGCTCCAAGACCATTCCGCAGAGGGCTCCAACAGGCTCCAGGGCAGCCCAAGAGGGCTCCAAGACGGCTCCAGGAACGACTGCAGGGTCTCATTTTTTTTTTTTTTGTTTTCTGCAAGACGGCTCCAGGAAGACTGCATGTCTTCTGAGGATGGCTTCCGCCTCTTGCCCCGAGCATCCCAAACTGCCTGAACGGTTCCCACTCGCCTTCCTCAAACCCAGCGCTTGCCCAAGCGCGTTCCGGACGGTCTTCGCCGGAACGCGCTGGAATGATCACGCGCTGCGGTTTCCCATGCCAACGTCCTCGGACGTGGGCGCCCTGCCACGAGCGCGTTCCGGGAAGATGCTCCTGGAACGCGCTGAAAAGATATGGCCACATCTCGGGGACGCTCCCGGCACTGCTGCCCCAGCCTTTCTGGGCAGCCTCCACAGCGCTCCAGGAGGGCCCAAGACGCCCCCTAGGAGCCCCCAGAATGCGAAAGGATGGCCCAAGACGCTCCCGAGCAGCCCAAGTCAGCCTTCCGACGGCTCTCGAGGCTCCCAGGTGGCCTCCAAGAGACCCCAAGAAGTCTGATAGGTATCGCGGTACGGCCCGGAGAGGCCAAAATCGTATATGTTCAATGTTCTTTTCAATGTTTTTGGCTTCTCGCGTTTTCGAGCTCCCATCGGTCCAAGAGCGCCGAAAAGCCTCCATGGGGGTACTGGGGCTCATTTTCCTGTGTTTTTTAAAGGGTTTCCGCGTCCTGGGCCTCGGAGGGCGCCGCCTCCGACCCCCCATGGGAGGAGGGGCGGCCGGGGAGGTCCAAAATAGTCCAGGAGGGCCTCCAGAGGCTCCCAAGACGGCCCAAGCGGGCCCCGAGTCGCCGAAAGACCGCTCCAGGACGCCCAAGATAGGCCCAAGACGGCCCGAGAGGCCCCCCAAGGCACTCCACGACGCTTCAAGACGCCTCTCCAGAGCGCTTCCAGAGGCCGAAATCGTCAAGTTGACGAAGGTTTTCGAACGATTTTGACCTTCCAGCCTTTTCGGCTGTCCGACGTTCCGAGACGGCTCAATAGGCCCCCAAGAGCGCCCCAAGCCCCAAGCCCCAGAGTCGCCCAAGACACAGCCCAACAGAGCCCCAAGACGGCCCCAAGATGCGCCCAAGAGAGGGACCACGACTCCAAAATTCGACCCTCCCGCTTGAAGAGTGCCCCAGGAGGCCCCAAGGAGCCCCCAAGAGGCCCCAGGAGGCCCCCAAGAGGCACCCAGGAGCCCCAAACGAGGCCT